TTAGGAAGGTGAAGATAAGGGCAGATGTAAGACCCCCGAAGGAAATGAGTAGATACTGAGGTATCACTCTGATCCGGACAAAAGCACTAACGCCCTGTCTGGATCACATCCCTTAGGTCTTTTACTTACCTTCCTTTGACCCGCGATTCTTCCTACCCCTACCCGCGGGCAGGGGAGGAGCGACACTAGCCTTCTGAGCCAGTCTCTGATCCTCAAACCGAGACAGGCTCGGACCCCTGGGTTTGTTCGGGCTCAGACTTGGACTTCGTGAAGGCCACTATCCCGGTCTTTCAGCAGGTCAGCCTGATATGCTTGGAACATCACCATCGTGTACAATGAAGCGACAGCCCGACCTGCTGCGTATGCCCTGGCAGCCGAGCGAGATGTCAAGGAGGGGAGTCTTAGAGAAAAGAGACAAACGAGAGCGGAGCTTTTCCCTTGGAAAAAAACGCTCACAGTGCACGCCGATTGCCCCCTCGGAGACATTGCGTGCGTGCTCTTCGCCCAAACAAATAACGCATAGATCGTGTGTGTCATCAGATGTCAAACAACGTCTACACTGATGCACACATCCTTAAACGCTTTGCTAGTGCTCGCCATAATGAGATGAATAGATCGCTCTTACCACAGAAATGCACGCTTCAAACAAAACACTGAAATGAAGACGAAGAAGATAATGTGCTCCCAGCGCCTATTTATACTATAGTTGCACCGGTAGTGACGTCATGGCTGTCGCCGGCCAACGAGTTGGTGTTTTTTCAATGTATGCTTCAGACACGGGTCACGACGAGGCGTTCCCCATAGCGACCCCTAGAGGACGCAGTTCGAAGTTCTCATGAAAGGGAACATTACGTTCTCTAGCAAAAAAAAATCATATCCCCCTGAGAAACTTTACAGTTGCTGGCAAAAATGTAAGGATTCCTGAGAAACGTTGTGTTCACATGCAAAACTTTTGAAAAACTTTGTATTTGCTGTATTTTGTCTAATACAGCACACAGGTACAGGCACCCCCCCCCCCCCCCCCCTCTTAAAAAAAAC